AACACTCAGCTGCATTCAAGGCCACGCTAATCATGCCTTCACTCGATTGAATTAAAAGTGCGATTGCACAAGTTCCAAGCTATAACGACCAACCATTTATGGACATGCAGGGCAGAAAAAATAAATTCAATTTGATTCCCTTTCAAGTTTGCGAAACTTTATAGAAATTATTACGCTCTGAACTAGTTCCCAAGTTGTTTTAATGTAAAAGGGGAACAGAAATGATTTTTTTTTGCAAAACCAAGGCTAATGCCCTCCATGCACAACCCTTTGATGCAAGTATTGATTACTGCACCACTGCAGGCGAATCTAGGTCAAGATTCGCTTTGTGCGTTTGTGCGTAACACAACAAGGCGCGGTTGGAACGGAATTTTTAATGCCTCATCAGTCGAGGAAAATACAGGGAATAAGTTTTATTCGCATATAAACTGTGTGCCCTGCTTGGAGAATAATAAAACGTGGTCTTGGAGTCTGGGAGACGAAACAATAGCGAACTGCTAATGGCCGTCCGCGCGTCCATTAATAGATATTACATAATGTGCATTATGTGCCGGACGCTCACGGCCATAATAGTGCCGCTTCTGTGCGAGCAATCAAAACCATTCTTATCTCCAATAAAGCCGAAATTAATGGATACGTATTACGTGTATGGAACGATGCACAATCATAAAGACGATCACTGCTACAGTTACACCAATTTCCTATAGTAGTCACAATGTTGCCCAGAGTTGAACAGTTGCACTTTCAACAATTGAGTCATAAAAGATAAGTCAGGTAGGTGCACACAAAGCAGCGTGTCAAATTTTTGAAAAAATTCACCACGCTACCATAACTGGTGCATATAAATATGTCATAATGTTAACTATTGTGAAAGCAAACAAGGCGGTTGTTTGGCAAAGCTTTAGATAACGAAAAATCAAAAATATCCAAAAAGGGAAAATGCCGAAAAGTGATTCGTTTCGGTGCATCAAAGAGCAAGTCGTAAACTCCGTAGTGCATTACCAGAGTATTATTATCCAAAAATCTATTTTAGGGTGGCCCATAAACATGAGAAAATTGCATTATGTCCGGTTTACCACCCACCCTGAACCAACGAATGAATAGACAACAACAAGTGAAAGAAAATTTACTGTATATGAAAATATAAGAAGAGATGTTAATGATAATCCCTCAAAAATCTCAACACAATATTCTGTGATTATTATGAAATGGAAATGAGCTCAGACGTAAACAGTGCTGACATTTATCCATCTAATTGCAGCAAGTAAGCGCACACAAGGCCAAATCCATAAACACATTTGCATGCGGATTGTGCGCAATCGAATCCACATTAATGTGCAAGGATATATCTTCCAAGATGCAAAGACATCCAATCCAAGATCATGTTTAGAAGTATATTATATTATACGATGAATCCCTCTCTCTATTCTAGACGCATCACCTCCGGGCATGAGTCGACAGTCGTAATTCACGTAATGCATCAATAGTACACGCGCACAAAGAGTCAGCCAATACGGTTGATATAATATTCATCAGAAAGACTTCATGATGATGATGTGTGTATGTATACATTGCGCCAAGGCTAACCAGACTAAGGGCGTTGTCATAGCATTATGTAATGTTCCAACAGCGGAAAGAAAATAATCACAAGGAATTGAGTTCAGATATTTTTCTTGTTTACATCAAACATCTTCTCATCTGCGTGTGTCTCACGAGACTCCCAAGACAGACAGGATTTTGTGTTATTCAATTTTGGAAACTCTTATGCTATTAGGGTCTGAAAGGACCTGGGGCTAATGAATAATCTAAATCTAAACACATCAAATTTTTGTTTTTTGCACATTTTGTGACTTCCCCTTTTGGGGAAAGTAGCTTACTGCCTCTTGAATTGAGATTAAGGAAACTAATCGACCGGATCCGGGGACTTTTCGGTCAGTGTTAGCGTGCGGTAGACGATAAAAGCTCCTTTTGAACGTCCACTCTACTCCTCGACCACCCTCGTATTCAAATGTAAGAATAGCGCCCCCGAATTGAATATGAATGCAAATTGAGTTCGGCGAATTGAAAAACACCCCCACATTGTGATTACTGTTTACACGCATAATACTAGTAATAGAAACATGCAGATACAAAAAAATGTTTACAACTTCAAGGAAATCAATGCCAATTATCTGAATATATGGTGGAGGCGCCTGGTAAAATAGAAAAATGTCAAGACCTTCATAAAACTCACAAGGATTACGACTGTGTTTCAGGGTTGCATTCAGGATCCAAATGTGCATCGTGGGGGTGTAGTGCATTGGTGTTGCCTTGAAGAAGGATGCACTTAACACCAACATACGCCACAGTAGGAGGGTTGTTACTAGGCATACACTCACACAGACGATTACAAGGGTAGATGGGTGCTATCGTTCACAATATTAGTATTACAGCATAGGCGCCATAAACGACAAACGACAAATCACATCCAAAGGAATCGCATTCCATCTAGGAGCAGAAAGAAAGTCTTAGCATAGACATATGCGGGTGCTTTGGTAATACTATCGCGTTTTACGACAGCAACGAGAGAGCGCTTTATTGATATGTCCGTAAATAAACATAAAAATGTGGGACAAGCGCGCCGCCGTCCCGAAAAGAGGGACTTGAATCCATTCCAGCGGAAATAATTGCGCTGGATGATGTTGTGGACTAATTTTGCGAAAAATATTGCGCACAAAACAAAAACGCAATTACCACCTCTTGATGTCGACGATGAAACGATGTAAACGCTTCTGCGGGCCTTGAATGGCTTCCTAATTAAAACTCGACGGTATATGCATGCATATTGCATGAAGCCAGAGAGGAAACTAGTAAAACCCAACCTAGTGCAGAGCAAACAGCTCGATATTCGATGCACAGATAGGAGAATGAACGTATGTTCAGAGAAGGATTGAATAACACCGCTAAACACCTCAATTACAACCTTTAAAATCATTTTATTTAATTTTTAATTCTTTTTAAAAGTTTTTTAGAGTGTTCTTTATGATTTTACAAAATTTTGTGGATGTAAAATCTGTGGTTTTGGAAATACAAGAGTTTTTAATAGTTTACCAGTGTTATTTTCGCATTTCGAGTGGATGTAAAGTACGCCAATAAAAACTCCAGCCCTGTATAAAGAGTTATCGTGAGCGTTCTAGCTGAAATGATATATACGCAGAAAAAAGGCTCTAAAAGTACCTCCAAAACAGGTATTTCTCTCTCAATATTTTTTGCATTCTTTGACTGCAGTAGAAGCAAAGAATTTGACTATAAAACTTGCGTTACGATGCGCGACGCTAAAAGTGATGTAAATCAAGCGCACCCCTATGCCAGTCTCGAGATTTGAAAATATTTGCGAATTGTATTGTTATTTCAGAAACATTTCCCCTTGTGCTGCTGATACCTTGTGCGTGTGCTGGCAGATTTATAGGTTTTTAAGAAATGCATTAGTAAAATATAAGCCGAGCGCTTAAAATCCATTAGGAGACGAGTTGCGGACGCGGAATGCGTGTGCGTGGAAATACCAGGATCACTTTCAATATCCTTCTCTGTATCCACGAGTGGTGTGCATGAGGAAACTGCGGAAAACTCCCCACGCGCACTCCGGAGTTGACTTAACAACTCCCCAAGGTGCATCATCATCATCCTAGCATAACACTACAAATCTAATTTTTTCTCCACCGACAACAAGTTTAACGCACGTACGAACTCCTATCGTTATTATGATTATGTTGATTTGATTTGATTAGAGTGCAGTTGCATGCTGAGCGGTCAATTCGAAGGTGGAAAACTCTATTTGGCTTAAAATTTCATTCGTTGAAATGTGATCAACGCGATCGGTGATAAACTCGATATGAAATGGAAAAGCTCTCCGGGTTTTACAACCGGGGAATCCTCGGCTTAATAAGGTGAACTGTCCGAAACTATGCACAGCTCAACCCTAAACGGGGACGAATGTAATTATGTTTTACTGTTGTCCAACACACTACAATGAATCACGTTCAATCGTTTATTGGGACATCATAAACCCAAACAAATTGCAAAATTTTAACAACTTGCAATCCTGCTATGCAATTGGCATTGAGTTTTGTAATTAAAACAACAAAAAAAAACGGGTTTTGTTCTTTTTAAATTGCTTGTAATTAACTGATTAAAATTAAAATGACGTACACTTTTCTGCCATTAGATGAATTTGAGTGGAGCTTGTCAGAAGTGAAGTGAAACGTATCGAGGGTGTTCCTAACCCTCTAGGGGTCATAGTCCTAAATAATTCAAACACAGCGTAAAGAAATGTAGCTCAAAATTGAATGAACGATTAGTTACGGTTGAATTTAATTGCCTTCTACACAAAACGGGTTAATTTTAATATTTAATATTAAAAATTCGTTTGTATGTACGAGTAGTTTGTAGGCTTCTGAGTGAAATTGCTGCGGGTGCGGTTCTTTAATGCGTTTGCATTCGGAAACTATTTGCGCTTGCCTATTGAGTTTTGAATGTGAGTGGTTCCCGGCTGTCGCCGTGATGACGTCGGACTGCAGAGCAATAGTTTGGGCATTAATACCCGCGCGCCGTAATATGCCGAAATATTGGCATCGAAACCAATTACGTTGCGCCGGTCACAATGCGTGCGCGCCCGGTGTGCGAGCACAAACCACTTCAAATGCAGAACTATGGGCGCGATTCAAACGCAAAGCAATAGTCCCCAAATAGGGCCTAAGCGTGTATGCAACGTGTGCAAGGGATTGTTGTTGGAGAGTGAGGTGGTGTGGTGATGGCGCGGTGAGTATTGCACATATTGGAAATTGAATCTGGGCAATGTCGATGTGGATGCAGAATGTGACAGAGGGGGTTCAGGGAGTCTGGCATCCCCCCAATCATGACCCATCATGGATTATTATTAAAACGCGTTTCGAAACTTTCACAGTCAAAATTGGTGGTGTTGGTGGTTTTCAACGCGAGATCCCCAACACCGGGTTGAATTATTGTGGTCTTAGCGGTGATAGATGTCCAGTGGTAAATCCTCGGTTATGCACCAGTGCAACACCTCCACCTGCATGTGCAAACAATGAGTCATTATCGGTAATTTATCACGATCGTCGGCTTCATTACGAGAGTAATCAAGCCGCAATCCGCGACTGTCGCCCATACTCTACAATCCAAGCAAGTGTAGAGGTAGGATTGATGGTCAAGGTATCCATCTAGCTCAACGCCTATGCATGTGCCCAGCACTAAGCTGAGCTTACAAAATTCCGACATTAATTGTGCGCGTTTAATTCAAACCCAAAACAGGGACCACGCGATGACTAGCTGAATGAATGACCCCACAAACACTCCACCCTGAGTGATAACTGACAACTATGACATTTATGCATGCAAATCGTAAAGTAAAGTAAAATAAAACTGCAGAAAGCAATTGTTTGGTGGTCGTTTCGATGGCGTATGTTCAGACACACGCACAGGATGAATAAAATATCACGAGGACCATTCGATTTTATGAACTGTGGCGAAGTGCACAGCTATACACACAACTATAGTTGGAGTCAGAGGGTGAGTAACGAAAAATTAAAAGCATTTCATTCCTGCAGCAGCAGTGAAATGATACGCAAAAGTGTGATTGACGAAACGTCAACTCGAGTAGGTCGTAAATTGCAAGATTCGAGCGTCATTACCTCACAATATGGAAACAACATCCAAGAAGGGATCAAACGCGTTGCGGAAATGATGCACCAAGACATAAACTGAAAAAAAAGAAATAAAGCATGGTTAATCGAGAAGACAATCGAGATACACACACACACACAGAAAAAAAAAATTACAAAAATCAATAAATTTTACGCTGTGTATTTTTCCTACTAATATTTACCATATATCGTCATCAAAAGATAAAAATGCGTGCTATACTTGAAAGATGGTTTATGATGAGGGTGGGCGAATTGAAGCAATTCGCAATTTGGTTTCCCTTTTATTATTACAAAGGTGCTTCCAGCGTACGCGCACAATAAAAAAATGTTTTATCGCGACGCAGTTAAAATGCGTCTAAGAAATTCCATAATTTTACGATATAATTCCGTTATCAAGCGAGCTGGAAGCGCGTCGAATAAAAGACGCTGTAACATTAGCATGTGCGCGAATTTCGAACACGCTTTGTAAGATAAGGGTTTAAGTGCGGGTTGCATGAAGTACACCCCCGCATCTAGAACGCAACTGTACTTTTTCGGGATGACTATGATTCAGCAGCGCGTTGCAGTATTGTAATGCGCTCGTAATGATCAACCCCCCGAAAGGGTTGTGCAGGAGATAGGGGCGGAAGTGCGCGGACGTTTCGTCGAGGTTGAAAGGTTTGGAAGTCGGCGTAACCTACGCATGCAAATGTCGCGCGTGCAGTTATTCACCCAGTTAGACACCCCTTTCGCCACCAACACCACCACTACCACCACCCTCATCAGAGGGTGTTATACTACAGAGCAACAATGTCGCGTGAGTTATGCGTTTGGTAGAGTTTAAGTCTTTAATTTTATTTACTCGCCCCGAAAGTTTTTTATGAACCATTTGCGATAGTTATTGGAGTGACCGATGGCGGACATGGCGAGCTCGTAAAATTAATTGGTCCGAACACTCGTAAATCTATAAATTTATAATTTCCTGGTTGTGTGTGTGTGCGCGGCCGCTTTTATGGTGCAACTTCGCCAGTAATTGGCAAATCAACGGGTGCGGACGTTTGGGGGTTGATAGTGACCAGTGGAATAGTGTTGAGCATTGTCCTACTTATATACAGAGTGTTCAAAAATTAAAATTCTTCAAAAATCAAGAAAAAACGCATAACAACGACTTAAACACTCAAAAATATTTTTTAGTAATATATTTTTATTAAAAAATATTTTAAAAAACTATTCTGTATAAATTTTTGAAATTTAGGGGATGAGGACAATTCAGTCCTGAACAATAACACTGTGTCATGCACTGCTGTCAGAGCTGAAATCGTAAATAATAGCCCGAAAATGAATTAACATGTAAATTTTGCGCCACAACACATTTCCACCCCGTGCGTCGTTTAGCCGCACAATATCCAAACCGCAATGTCGCCGCCGCCGCGCCATTCGAATGCAAATCGCGCGCGCGTGCATTTTTTACATTTTCTATGCGATAATGAAAATTTGTGTGATAATTGAAACGCAACGTCTTCATGCGGTGCTCAAAGGGGTGCGTGGTGAATTATTTGAATTTTAAGCGTTTCGACCCTGTTGCTCATGCTACTAAATTATTTTATAATTATACCCTCACATACAGTAGCAATCTGTCAACAAGCAAATTATTTTCGGGGAAAAATGCGTAGATTTTTAAGAGACGTGTGTACAACTGGGAACTGAATGTCATACGCAAAGGTTAATTAATTTATTGTATCTAATATGTGGTATATCATGCGTGGCATAGGTGACATCACATTCTTGCCCTGATATTACTTTGATAAAGGTTAATATAACCTTTTGAGTTAAAGGCCTGGAAAGTTGCACATTTGAAGAATTTCTTTGACTTTATTTATGAGTTTTAATTATGTGTTTTAATTTGAATGCTGTTTAATTACTAGTTAATGCCTGTTGATTAGTGTCTTCATTTCGGGAATCTCCAGAGGGTAATAAATACATTCTCGTTAGTAAATCATGATTTCATTTAGTCGGGGGCAGTAATTGGGTGTTAATTTTACATTAGGGGAGTTTTGTATTAATTTTTGTTTTTATTTTGTTGAAAAAAATTGTTTTTTATTGGATAATAGTGTAAAAAGTTAAAAATTCCTATGAAACTTTAAAATATTTAATAAAAATGGGAGTTTCGGGTTTATTATTGTTTTAGTCACGTGATTTCTCCACCCGTGACTAAAACCCGTGACTAAAGTACTTTAGTCACGTCCGTGTATAAAGTACCGCTTTTAGTGTCTCAAAACCGTTGTAAAACTGGTGTTTTAAAGGTGAAAGTAGAAAAAATAATAAATTACCTACATAGATTTCCACAAGGGGAAGATGAAATAAAATTAATATCGCTAATATATTATTATCGCGACAGATGGTAACATACGAATTTAATTTTAAACCGTGTTACCACAGCATCACATTAAAAAGAAGTGCCCACAAAGGGGACGGCAAGATGGCGTGGATTATGTTAAGAGGGTGCGCGAAAAAATGTGAAAAATTTTATTAGCGAATCAAGCACGTAAGTCAAGTTGTTTCTCACCCCCGCTGTCACAGAATAGAAACAGTTGTAAAACACAGTCGCAGGACACATGTGCAAACAACGTTCGAGTTAATTGAGCGGAAGAGTGTCACTCGAATGTGTCCGTGCCGCGTCGAGCGCCTTCCTAATTGCCGCCCAAGAATATGCAATTGCGAATATTCACTTATTGAAGTATTTAAAAACTCGCGACACGTGTCGCGATGCATGGTGACAATAGACACAGCGATGTCGAATCGCAGGAGGTCACAGTCACGTGGGGGTGAAAAAAGTGTCGCGCACAAGTTGGTCACGTGTCGCTGTACACAAAAAGTTAGTTGTTTCAAAAGTCTTCTATGAGTTTTGCTCAGACCACTTGCAAAAGTGTTGTAGGCGCACCCCTAATAGAGTTGTGTCACGCGTGAGCTTCTTAGTGTTTGCAAACAGCGATAAATGTAATCATGGGAAATTATCACGTTTTATCGATGTCGATAACGATAATGTTCATTTTGCAATAGTTATTAAACTAATTACGGCACTTTTTGGAATCTGAAACTTTTTGTGATGCATGAATATTGTCGGTGCATTCAGAATAAAATCATGATTGCCTGATATCAATCTTAATGTGGGCGCAAATAAAACAGGCAGTTTCCGAAACGATGAGGTAATTTTGACAGGACACGCACACTTAAAAGGCGTGACGATTACCCAGCGTGTAATTTACATGCACCAGTCACGAATAATGTATTTATTTATCCACAAACCCCTGAAATAAAAAAAAATTGAAAAAAATAAAAAATTAGATTAATTTTGTGCATTTGAAACTATTTTAACCACCTAGTGACTTAAATAATTAATTTTTAATATTATAAATATAAAACACTCCGTATAATATAAAATAAAGTGATAACAAGTCATAAATCAATGTGTAAACCTAAAACACTTCGTTTTGTTGCATAAAACTGCATTGTTTTCCATGGGCGTGCAAAATAATTAAATTAATGCGAAAGTAGCAGTGTTCTTGACCCTGAAGCGCGATGAATAATGAGTTGGTTTATGAGTTTTTCTTGTTTTTCGTGCTGTTAAATTGGCTGGTTCAAGGTACGAGCGCCATAAAGCTAGACGCGAGACACGCCGTTTTTTATAATACGCGCGACGCTCGTCAAATCTCTCGCCGCGAACGCAAATATAAAAGGTAGCGCATTCGTGAATCGTAATAAGAGCGTAATTAAATACGCAGCCGAATATGAATATATTTAAGTGCGGAATGTGCGCGTTTGGTATTATTGCTATTGTTTGGTTTCAACGTCGGCGTCGGTTTTGTGTGCATTCACATTCCTCAAACTCGTAAATCCATCCGGAGCTTCCTTTTAGACTAATTCGTAATTCGGAATTCGTATGTTATGTTTAGACACGATTTTTGATAATATCTTTTATATGCATCCGTTGGTAATATTTTTATGATTTTTTTTCAATTGAAAAGCAAATTAATTAGTCATTGAATCAAAATAATTCCTTTTGATTAACTACGATTTGGATTATAACCTGACCACGATTTTGCTTTTATTTAGTTTTGAGAGTAATTCACCACAGAGGATTACCTCCCATGTCTGCAAACCTTCCGTATTGAAAAAAGGGAATTCTAATACTCGTACCATACGATATGGTAATGATTTTAAACGAGCAGTCTTGTTTGCGCAGCGCAATATTGCACACAGACTTGTATTGTGCGCGCGTCGAACATGAAACTGGGCCTCTAACAGCACCGACATCCTAGCTGTTGCTGGGCCATAATGCGAAGGGATTACAGTTGGCGTCGCTGAGGTTAGTGCCGAGTCGGAGGGTCGGAATGGCATAGTTAGCGACAATTCGCATTCCCCCAAAACACGCCGCTTACCCTTTCGGCGCACCCGGGGCTTTAGCCTTTGACATTACTGTCAGAGGCAGTGTTTACATAAAAATGCGTAAAATATGCTTGCGGCGACTATGATCCGCAGGCGTAATCCGCTGGCGTGCAAATAATTTCAGACGTTTTAAAGTTTTCCACCAGCAATTTTAGAAAATTTCATCAATACTCCCAACAGGGGTTGAAATGTGAGTGTAAATAATTCAATTTTTGTTTTAAATTGCTTTTTCTACATGTTCTACATGTGACATGTGTCTTTTTTCGTTGTCAATATTAAAAACCACCTCAAAACCACCCTGCACACAAGGGTGTAGCAACCTTGCACCCTTTTTCTGTGTGTTACCGAATTTAATTGTTCCATTTCACTAATCTTATTCTCAGCTTTGCATTTTATTAAATTTGCAATGACCGCAGTATAGAATTCACGTCTATTTGTTTTGGTTTTGCGGTAGCAGGAGAAATAATGTCATATTTCATAACATGCCAACCGCTATGAAAACACTATGAACCCTTTTGGAAGAAAAGAGCACTTGAAACCGTCTCGAATTTCGTGTTCCGAAGAGGAGCACAAGGAGCAAAGTGTCCGTCGGTGAATCACTTTGTTCTTCAGCTGCTTTTTTACGTCTTTAT